TTTTTTCACTACAGTCTACCTTGTCCATAATCTACCTTGTCCATAATTGGAGAGGTCTGAGCAAAGCTCAGACCTCTCCAACATAATTTTCCTCAAAGATTTGTTAAGTTATACCATGAATTAAGGTAAGATCCTAGACTTCACCTTACGAAACAGACAAAGCAAATGCGATAATAATTATGGACAAGGTAGAGTATAGTGGAAAAAATGAACATATTAGAAGACGGGGGAACTTACGTGCCCCTTAATGGAGCAACTTTCCTAGAGGAGAATGCTATTTTTTCTCTCGGTTAATTTTACAGGCTAAGGGTTAATCTACTTCAGCTCATCTGAAAACCCTGCCCCGTCTGAGGTATGTTATCACTCCCTAGGATGTCACTTTCACCACTTGACCAAATCCCGGATACTTATTACTAGATGCACAGGGGCAACAGGTGTAAGAATACACCCGAAGGTTCCAGGGAATGGACAAAAAAAAAAAGGTCATAATAATAACCGTAAGGGGTCGAGGGGTAAGCCAGTGGAAGGCCTCGGTCAGATGACCAAACGCTCCAGTGGCGGGTCATGATATGACTTAAGACCCGCGTCAGGAAATACTTGTGTTTCCTGACACACCGTACCTTACGTGGGAATGGAACCCAGGTGTCTTCGATTGTTAGATGAACACTAACAACTGTTTGTACCATACGAAATGGAATTGTAATAATTTTTCTTTTCATCTTTTATTTTTACCCAGGAATGATCGTTCCTATTTCGGAACATCCTCTTTGTCCTGGTTTTATCGTAAGGTTATATTTTGCTGGTAATTTCAGAAGTTGTTGCACATTGCAGTTTCACGTTGCTGTCAGTTTCCCTTCGTCTTGTATCACCTGGTTAGTGTAGTTAAATGGTTCGGAGAACCGATAAGTTGATAAATGAAGACACATTTACAACACTTGGGTATCTTTGAGGAAACGTTTCGCCATACATTGGCTTCATCAGTCCTATACCAAGAAGAATGGTGAAGATCAAGAGGAGTTTGAGGTAATCAGTCCCTCAGCCTGGAGTCCATGGATGTATCTAGATGAGGCTGTTGTGCATAATCTAAAACTGGATTTGTATACGAATGCTCTTGGGTTCGCCCTGCGGCTGCCCAAGAGTGTGGTGGGGTAGATAAACTATAGTTAATGTCCCCTTTAGGTTTGAACAAGTCTGCCGTAGAGATCTTTTCCCTTTTCCTTAAATGTGTGGAAAATTCCTAAGACGAATGCCAGACAAATCTATATTCAGAATGTAAAGACCTTTATATTGTCCCGAAGTCTGATAATTTTGATATTTTTTCATGTTACCAATGTTAATTTTGCTAGGTAATCACTCCATTACCTTTGCTTGTAAACTATCCTCTATTCCTATAATACTCAGTCTTTCTGGCATTAGGCACTCGTGTGCCTGGGTCACTCAGCATTTCCTGCCTCCCATCCTCATTCTTAGCAAGAGCGTCCCTCAGAACGAATCTGCTGAGATCTCTTACTCATTTCTGCACTGTTGCAAGTTCCTGATATATTGATTGCAACACGAAAGGCCTAAAGCTATCATTTAACTCCCCCTGTGATTGTTCTGTATCTTGTATTGCTTGTTCGCGCTTCTTGTTTTTTTACATATGTATGTATGTCGTGCCGAATAAATAAAACTTGCGATTTTGGCTTAAATAGCAACGTGCTTCTTGCCGAATAAAGCAAGCGAAAATTTGTGTATGCAGTAATTTCGCAAAAATCATTCTGAACCTACCGAAAAAAAATATATTTCATTGTGTTTGTCTATTATTAAATTATTGTAAACTTAACTAAAATATATTTAGTTGGATTAGGCTAAATTAAATTGCGCTTGTTATAATAAGGTTAGGTAAGTTTTCTAATGTTTTTTTGGTACAAAATTAGTTTTTACATTAACATAATTGAAAAAAAAATATATCTTTAAATGTATAAGAGAAAATTTTAGAAAGGACTTAATTTTATACGAGTTCTTGCTAATTGACCAGTTTTACCTATTCGGCACGGCATTAACACACACACACACAACACACACACACACATATATATGTATATATATATAATATATATATATATATATATATATATATATATATATATATATATATATATATATATATGAATGCACTAAGTTATTTTGTTATGCTTTTATATATATATGGAAAGTATACATCAGCAGTAGTCTGCTACTCTGTCCTATATGATAGTTACAAATGCACATTAATGAGTATTTCACATATATTAAGCTCATACATGAATATCTACACACTTGCATGTGTGCACACATGCACTACATATGCAATACACACAAATACATGTATACATGTATTTTTTGTATTATGGATGTATGTACTTGCCTACAACTGGGGCATCACTAGGCTCCACGGTTGGGGAGGGGAATGTTGGGGTTTTGGAGGGGTGAAGGGGGGTAGAGAAGTAAGAGGACAAAAGGTGACCTGCACTGGTAAAGTTCCTTTCCTGCTGTTGGCTGTGATCCCCTACAGTGGGCAGCAGCAGCAGCAGCAGCAGCATCGAGCACTCTGCCAAGTTCCTTCATTTCCTGTGTGTCGTAGCTCAGGCAGGTAATTTCCTCCTCATCCCTCCCTCTTCTCCTTCCCTCCCTCCCTTTCTTTCCCTCTTTTCCCAGATTCTGGGTCACTTAAGGTGGTATTGCTTGAGTTGGTTGTACCTGGGGGAAGGGAAACGTGTACTCTGGAAGGGTGCTGGTCTTGCCACTTACTACTAGAACCCACCATTTCTCCACATAAAGGTGATAAAGGAGGCCCCCACATGTACACCTTTACGGTGTTCCACGTTTTCATTGGCTTCCAATTGAGCCATTGTTCATTATGTTGCACCCGCCAGTGATTGTCACCGGCGAGTGCAACAATGACTAAATTGGAAGCCAATGAAAACATGGAACACTAAAAATAGGCAGTGTTTCCCCGTTTTTAAATCTGTTGACACGGTTGATGACACGGAACAAATTCTGGATATGGACTGTCGAATGTGAAAAATTACTCTGTTTTATTTATTTTGAGACTGATTTATGTACTATGAGTGACTGTCAGTACAGTAGCAAGTTAGTTGTACTCAGCGGTGACGCCAGATTACTGTTTGGTGGGGGGAGGGAGGCTTAGGGTGCTTGCCTGATCTACCAGGCTGTTACTGCTGGTGGTGTGCTGGCCCACATACCATCACAGCCTAGTTGATCTGGCACTTGGTGGAGGTACACGTCCTGTTATTACTATTTTTATTAGGGGGGTTAATAGCTGAGGCTAAAGCCCCCAAGGTTTGCTCCCCCCATTGGTGCCACCCCTTGTGGTACTGTAATGTGTTTAAGGAAGTTTTTAACAATAAATTTCTAGTATTTGAAAAATAAAATAAATTTCTCTCGTATCTCTCCCATTCTTATCCCACCCTGTCCTCTCTATCCCTACCTGCCCCTCCTGCTTTACCCACCTTCCTGTTAATTATCTCTATAAAGGGTCAACAGACTGCTCACTGCAAGGCCCCTGCGAGTGGATGGCAGCCAATGTGGTGCCATAATTACGCACACTTACTATAATGGCACTACTATACACAAACAGCTCCCAAACTTCCATAGAGAAATGCAGCGGTGGTGTCTTAAGTAGTATCTAAAGTGATTAAATTTGGGGATAATTTTTATTTATTTTTTTGTAAAGCGATAAACCCATATGGGTCATTCGTCTCAAGTAATAGCTGAGGCTCATCCTCTCTGGTAATTGTGGGTGTTGCACTACCTACCTGTATTTGTACATGTTCAAAGTGGGGCATCATGCCATTAACACCCAGTTAGTTTAGTTGATATCCTTATTATGCACCCCATACCCATCCTGTGGGCGGTAGTCAAAGGATTATGGAGGTACATAATGGATCCTGGGCCTCGGCCTCAGAGTTTTGATAGCTGAACAAGGTACAAAGGTAATGAACTCCAGGTAGATCTGGTCACAATCATGAACAAGTTACAAGGTAATGAACTCCAGGTAGATCTGGTCACAATCATGAACAAGTTACAAGGTAGTGAACTCCAGGTAGATCTGGTCACAATCATGAACAAGTTACAAGGTAGTGAACTCCAGGTAGATCTGGTCACAATCATGAACAAGTTACAAGGTAGTGAACTCCAGGTAGATCTGGTCACAATCATGAACAAGTTACAAGGTAATGAACTCCAGGTAGATCTGGTCACAATCATGAACAAGTTACAAGGTAGTGAACTCCAGGTAGATCCGGTCACAATCATGAACAAGTTACAAGGTAGTGAACTCCAGGTAGATCTGATCACAATCATGAATAAGTTACAAAGGTAATGAACTTGGTTAATTTTCCTTGTCAAGTAATTATCAGGCAACTTCTCTAATATTACTGCATTAGCTTCTAGGAGGATAAGACTTCCATCATAGCTACCTAGCCTCACAACCCACAGGTCTATCCATAACTAGACCATGACAAATGTTCACCCAGCAGTTATAACACTGCTGTCCACTTACTAGGGCATATGTAGTGTGTTCTGTTTTTCATCATAGTTCTTCTTAAATCACTGGGAGGGGAAAGGATAAAAAGCATCCACTTGTTACATTCACCAAGGAAAATGATTGTGTTGTCAAAGTAGGTATAACAGTCTGCTTTATATGTCATCTCACCAGTCAAGTTTCTCTCCTGATGTAGTACAGTGACGTGATATATTTTTGACATCTATATTCTGACCCATACGAGAATTATTTTTACTTGTTAATATTTCGTTTACATTTCTTCTCTAAAATTATAATTAACCTTTCAAGGTTAAAGCTGTAAGTTTTAAGTCGATTATTCATTTTTTTTTTCAATATCTCATCAAATTTTTATTTGATCTCTTAGTTACTTGTGCTACAGATTAAATTTTATTTTGTCTTTGGTATAGATGCATTGTACATGCATGTGAATACTAACAATTGTTTGTGTTTGCAGGTGGTTAAGTTGAAACAAGTGGAACATACACTCAACGAGAAACGAATATTGCAAGCGATCACCTTCCCCTTCCTCGTCTCTCTAGAGTTCCACTTCAAGGTAACCAGTGCTAGCTAACCTTATGTTCTCTTTCTTTGTATCTCCTGTACCTCACTATCTGTTTCTCTTTAGAGAGGGAGAGAACATTTTTCTTTCACTATCCTTGCCTCAACCGTTTACAGTCTAAATGGTAGTAGATAGTATTCATTTGATGTATTAGTAGGTAGTTCTGCACAGATAGCTTCAGTGTCAACAGTGATGTATTCTGCTGTTTGCCTTTCTCAACTTTTTTTTTTCTTCTTTCTAAACATGTAAGGGGCATACAGAACCTAGGTAATGGGAAGCAGTCAGGTTTGATATGAGGAAGAGGGATCCTGAAGATTCTGAGGGTAACTGCCCTCACGGCCAGGTCCCAGACCAGATTGCTTGGTTGAGGATTTGAGCACTCAGGTTGTTGGTGCTGCCTCTCACAGTTCAGCATAAGCATCACTTTATCAGGAAGTGAACTTAGCAAGTTCTTTGAAGACACCTAGGAGTCTTTGTAGTTTTCTTTATGTATGAAGGAATGTTGAAAAAGTCTTGCCCTTTACGCACAGTTTTTTCACTGAAGGTATTTTTCACCATCTACCAAGTCTGATATTCTTGTAGGGAGTAATTTCAATGTGTAGATTTAGGATTAATCCCTCCAGAACTTTTCAGATGTAAATTGATACCCTTTTCTCAACTACTTTCCATGGAATTTATAAGGGCATTGAAGATCCTCTACATTTTTCATAAATGCAATTTCACTTGCCTTAAAAAAAATGGTCTGTTAGTGTGCAGTAATGTTAGTTTAGAGAGCACAAGTAACCTAGTATCAGCTTTGGTTTTAAAGGTTCTAATTATCCAGCCTATCACTCTGTTCATGAAAGTAACACTGTTGTGATTCATGAACATAACATAAGATCTGATATTATCATTCTTAGTCCCTCACACATCTCTTCCTATCTGTCTGTTGAGTGGTTTGAATTTTATACTGTTCGTTTTTAAATTTTTGTTTTTTCCATAGTGGGGGCAGCTGAAATTTGTTCTCATTTAGCGTAATGACTAACATGGTTTACTGATAGTAGCAGTTATTGTCAGCTTGAAGTTAAGCTGTGTTCTTGATGGATGTCACTCTCATGCAGTCTAGTATCCTCCTACCCTTCCATTCCTCCCTATCTTCTACCTCCCTTTCTTACCTCCTTACTTTTCTTCCCTCCTATCTCCTTCCCTCTCCTTCCTCTATTTCTTCTCATCCTTCCCTCGTATCTTTTTCACCCTGTGAATCTTGTTACTAGTGAATGAGTGAGTGCTGTAATAGGTTGTATTAATAGTTGTGTGCTTGCCCCGACCTCTTAGTGTCGTATCTGACATTGGAGGGTGGCACTTCACAAGACCTGCTTAAGTGCATGAAATTAATGTTGGGAGCAGGCTGGCTCTCTGCTGGGATGTGTACTTGGCTATGGAGGTGGTGGTGCAAGACTAGTCTTGTTATTGGAGATGTAAGGAATTTAGTAATGAGATAGGTGGTGGAAAGGTTCCCTCACTGCTATTTTGTTAGTATTCATAATGAAGCTTAGACAAAATTTCAAAGGCTATTATAATGGCTGACATAGTTCCAGTACACAAAGGAGGCAGTCGAGTTCCAGCAAAACACAGGCCCATCATAGTAACATCACATGTGAATTTTTGAGAATGTAGTTAGAGGAGGCTAGAAAGAGATTCAGTAGCTTAAAGGGGTGTTCAAGGATTATCCCTGGAACGAGGATGTAGAAAACTGCCATGACAGTGATTCGACCAACAACAACTGGAAGCTGGTAGCAACAAATTACCACGAACTGCACAAGCCATGAAAACCATGGCTACTGAGCAGGAAGATCCTTCCTAAATGTTATCATTGTTCAGATCATGCATTTGTTTTCTAGTTTTTCTTCATAACTCTTTAGTTCTGAGAGTTGTCTTGCAGTACATCTTGAGATTTTTCTTATTTTAGCTGCAGACACCATTATGACAACATTCACCCTTCGTCTTATGTATTTTGTTATCAGCTTTTCACCAGTTTGCTAACCAAATCTCTGAAAGTTTATAGTGTGAGATAAATGAGCATCTTGCTATTCTGTTGATCAGTAACAGTGCTTTTTAGGATGATTTCAGAGTTCCTTTCTAAGTGATTCTACATTTTATCAGTATACTATATTCTTTATTTGACCTGCTTTTGTTGTCTTCTATTTCCCCTGTATATGGCAGCTGTCCATCTGTCCCACTATTTATCAGTCTTATCCAAGTTGTCCTTTAGGGACACAAGTATCTTGCAAAGAATTTTTTGCATCTTCTAAGATTTTTTTAAACTCTACATATAAATTGGGAAAGTGGGCAAGTAATGATCCTTGTGGGGACCCCATTGGTAACATTTTCCAATAAGCAAATTTTTATTTCAAAGATGGATCTCTCATTTTAATAATCTGCTTTTCATTCTCTCTATATGTCTGATTATCTTAGTAGCTTGATTAATTTAATATAAAAGATATTTATTTCAAGACCAGTTGTGTATTAGCAAGATTTTGCACTCATGTTTTAGCCACTACTCAGATGGCTGTTTTCAGAATTTTTTTTCAGTAATTGTCAGTGAAACATCCCTGTGATTTAACAGCTCTTACTGTCTCTGTTTTTTTCAGTAACTATTTGTGAATTTACCTACTTGTAATATCTCCCCAAAAATCTGAAGTGGAAGATTTTTCAAACTGAAAAGTGACAGCTTGACTATCATGAGTGCCAAGTTGCAGCCATGTAGGTTGTAGAGTGTTAAAGTGTAGTATTTGTCATGGGAGGTATACTTATGGATGCTCAGGAGGGGTGCCTGAGCAAGCAAGTGTTCACAAGCTGTCTTTGTTTGCTGCCTCCCAGAATAGCCACTCTTTGTGGTGATCGTAATCTTAGTCTATGCTGCTGGGTTTGGCAGGGGGCTTTTATACATAAAATGCATTTTATTTTTATTACTTGGAGGTGCGTGCACCCCTACATGTGTATGCACATATGTATGTTCATTAGTGTACATGAAAGATAAGTAAGGGAATAAAGGCCAGCATACATATGAAGTGACAAGTAAGGCAGAGAGATTTACAGGACTGAAATTTGGTGCAGAGTTCATTTATATAACTCCATAGGTCATAATGAGTTTAGTCAGAAGGGCTGCAAAATGACATTATTCCTGGCAGAAATCCCCCAACTGAACCTGTGATCCAGTCAATGCAAATGAACAAAACTCGGAAACAAGTGAGTATGGAAAACTAAACACTAAAGAACACAGAAAATTGGAAAATAAGCTAGAGTTCTGAGAAAGAAAATCCTAAAAAAAAAGTCACTTAAGGAATTGTACAGGAAGACATTTGATGAGATAAATGAGCAAAAGTTAAAAAAAAAAAAAAAATAAAACAGGCAGAACAGGGAAGGGTTGGCAGGCTGAATTATCTTGAACTTCTAGATTTGTAGTGTTTCTTGCGTAGGGCTGACTGAACTACGTATATGAAAATAATGCCTTTTTTGTTAATATTAATTTAGCGTTTCTGTATGTCATTGTGGATAATGCAAAACAGTGAGAAAAAGAACAGAGGATGATTACAGGGAACTTCAAGACTTGGGCAGAGTGAAGGAATGGTTTAATAAGTGGATGCTAGAGTTGAACTGCAGCAAGTATAAAATAATGAGCTGGGGGAGGATGGGAAACATGAAGTGTCAAAGTATAAAAAATACTTAGAAATACTGGAGGGATGGGTAATTAATCTGTTAACTGAAATTATTCTTTGTAGGAAAGAGGCATGGCAGATGGTGCAAAATATTTCAATGTAGAAAAAAGATACAAAAGTACGTATTTAAGATTACTCAAAGTATGAAAGGTCCGAGACTTCTTTAACACACCATCTTCAAGATGCAACTGAATTAATTTCTCTAGGCAGTGCCTGATCAATTAAGCTTTGGTGCTTAAAGGACAGTGTGCAGTGAGCAACAACAGCCTGACTGATCAGGCCATCAACCAGGTGACCTGGTTGATGTCACCCTTGGACTCTTTGTTGATTTTTCTCAAGTGAAGACTTAACCCACAAGCAATGTAGGGAGTATTCTCTGTCAGTTGTTATCTGGCTTTTCAGCTAATCAGCCTGTTGAACAGGCTGTTAATTAGGCTGCCTGGACATGGACGGGGTTGCTGGCATGATAATCCTAGAAACCGTCAAGGCATCACATGAAACTTGTGCACTGAAGCACACACACTGAATAGCACTTAATATCTTGTACAAGGAATGCATTCTTGATTAAAGAACCACTCATATGTTGTGGGAAGGAATTTATTAAGATAGTTTATTAGCTAGGTATTGTGTATGGCAATGAACAAATGGAGACTGAAGCTTCTACCATGCTTTGTGCTGACTGACTAACGTGAGTTCAGCATTTCAATGTTGTGTACTACTTATACAAGTTAAGTGCCAGGGCTAGCTAGCTAGCTAGCTTGGAGCTGACATCTAGTCTTGTGCAAGGGTATATATCAGCAAGAGAAGGTTCAGAAATTGGTTACGAGTGTCCCAGAATTTTGGGGCATAAACTAGGACAGCCTAAATGAGCTGAATCTGGTGATACTGAAGGAATAAAGATGTAGAGAAACTGAGACTGATACGAGGGAAGCAGAATGGTAGTACACCTATCAATGATAAATGACCATGCTAGCCACCAGCACATTAGACCCCCATCCCTTCACTCTATTAGGAGTGAAGCAGTGTGTGGTAGTAGTGGTTGAAAGGGGATTGTAATTTCAGCAGTACAGTAGATATGATAACTTTCATTGAATAATGCACTTTCTGCTGCCTGTCCATCAATAAAGTTTGAAAAGGGATCCCAAGAACTGAAATTTAATGCCTGCAGCCATCTAGCAGAGTTAGCACTCGTTACAACCCCCCTCCTTCCTTTTCCATATGATACGTATTTAACTGAGATGTAAATAAATTGTTTACAACACCGACAAGTTGGTAAATGAGACACTTGTGCAACAT